TAAAGTTGTAAAAAACTTACCCAATTTGATTTATTCCAAGATCTTAAATTATTCAATATCTTGAAGTTTCGTATTGCATGTACAAGTTCAAGATATTGAAAATTTTCAAAGTGCCACAATAAAGGGAAAAAAATAAATGATTTATTTCAAGTTCGTAGGAATTAATTGGTGAATTAATGAGTATTGAAAAGAAATTATGAGAATTTCAGTGAAGCTCCATAAACAAACTGCGGGAACATAAGGGAAGTTAATACGCTGAAAATATGGGGAACTTACTGGAAGCTTTAAGAACCTCAAAGCGGTTCTTTTAGCATCCGAAAATTTTCGGGAACTTTTATGAATTTCAGAGAACTTCACAGGTGTCAAGCGAACTTGAGAAATATAGAAAACATAATTGCAATTGGGTATTGTGCAATTTTTTTTAAGAAGTTCTAAGTACCTCAGAAAAGCTAGATCTAGAGATTTTTTTTTTGGGGAATTTCAGACCTTAAGAGCAGTTTCCGTAGCTTTAGTCCAGACTTTTGGAGTAATTTGAATATCTATAATCGCAAATTTAGAAAAATTCAGGACAGTTCCATGATATGCTGAAAAAAAATCGAGAACCCTTAAGATGTTCCGAGAATTTCAGGGAAGTACAGAGTCCTTCAGAGAATTTATGAAAACTTTAGAAATATTTCAGAAACTTCACAGAAGTTCAGAGAATTTCAGGGAAATTTAAAGGTTTTTATGGGAATTCCATTTATTTCCGAGCAGCAGAACCAAGATCTTCAATAGAATTGAAAGTTTTAGGGAAGCTTCGAGAACATCAAGACAGATTATAGAATCTAAGTTCAAGGAAATTGTAAAAACCTTAAAGAAGTTACGAATAACTCAGGGAATTATGAATATATATCAAACAAATTGCCGTTTATAATGGTTATAATACTTAAGGGAAATTGTCGAAACTTCAAGGCAAATAATTGAATTTCAGTAAAGTTGCGGGTTCATAAAAAAATACTGAAAATTCAGGGTAGTCTAGAGAACTTTAAGGAAATTCAATAGTCGTTTAGGCAGTTTGCTGGTGGTATGTAAAGTCTAGACCAGTGTTGGCAAAATCAGAAATCATTTGATATTTTTCCGCTCTCATGCGCTCGCAATATCACGCGTGATATTGGAACAAAATATCATGCTTGATATTTATTTTACAAGCTCCTTTGATATTGCGAGACTATTCACAACGTGCAAAAATCAAGCTGAGAGTTGACTCGACACAAAAATGATTCCATTGCACATCGTGTTTTTAGAAAGAGAAAGCATAGTTTCCTATCTCTTTTTAATCTTCACCGATGGCAGACGCGAAGGGACTGCTGCAAGCCGTTATGGAAGTTTCGGTTGTACTCGGGTGTAAAGCAAAAATCATTAAACTCAATATCACCACAGTTTGGTGAGATTTGCAGTTGGTGAGTTTTGTTAGCTTGATATTCCGAGCTGCGATATCACAGCTTGCAAAATCAACCGCAGTAGTTTGCTTGTTGATTTTTGTCTACGAAAATCAAGCGTGATCTTGAGCGTTGGTGAGATTTGATTTTTTGATATTTTCACAACACTGGTCTAGACTATTGAAGAAGTTTTAAATAAGTGTCGATAATTTTTAAGGATTTTTTATGAACATTGGGGAGGCCAGTTCCTTTAGTTTCAGAAAGTTAGTGGGAAGTTAAAGCAGTTCCCAGATTTTGAGATAACTTCAGAGACGTTAAAAAGTTAATTGAGGTCTTCGCTTACGTTCAGAAGCTCACTTTTTAGGGCGGTTCAATTAAATTCAGCGCAATACAACAAGATTCATGAGAACTGCTAAAACTTTAGAGAAGTTTTGAGAATTTCAGAAAAGAACAAAGAACCTCAGAGCAGTTCCGTTAACATTAGAGAAGTCACATAAATTTTAAAGAAGTTTAGAGAACTTCAGCTAATTGTTAATCGTTTAGAGGAGATCCATGATCATTGGAAAAAAATTAGGAAACTTTAGGAAGTCCTAAAAAGTTCAGGAAAGTTTAAGAATTTGATGAGAAGTATTGTGAGTCTCAGGCTAGTTTCTCAAACCACAAAAGAACTTCAAGCCAGTTTCATTAACTTCAGGAAAAAATTGGGAACTTTCAAGTAGTTCTGAAAACCTCAAAATAGTCCATTCCATATTCTACGGAGATTTCTATTGAAATATTCCTCAAAATTTTGGCGAAGCTATCCTCCGAATTCAATTTTCTTTTAGTTTTCCTTGGAATTTTCCACAGTAAGAAACCCTTTCGAAAGATTCTCGGAATATTCATTGAATTCATTTCAGATTTCCTTTTCAATCTCACGCCTTCCCTTGGAATTCTACTCACATTGAAAGTCTCCTAAGAATTAATTGGCATTTCTCCTTTCAAATTACTTTCTTCTCATAATTTGTTTGGCAAACTCTCCTGAATTCATTTTCCGAATTCCTGTGAAGATGTCCTGGAGTTATTCTCAGATTGAATTGTAATCCTCCTATAGTATTTAAAAAAAAATCCAAGGACTTATACTCCGGATTCGTTTTCTCCCACAAACTTCATGAAGTTATGCTCAGAATACCCTTGGAATTTTCCTCTGAAGCTCCTCAGAAATTTCCTAAGAGTTTTCATTAAAATTTACTTTTAGGTCACTTTTTAGTCACTATTTATACAACTATAAGCTACTATTTGGTCACTTATTTCATCAAAATGCTCACTAAAATCACTATTTTTAACAGCAGTCATTGCTACCATCCCTGCTTTTGGGGTGAGAGGCAATCACGATTACCACTACACCACCGGTGCCGCTCTATTAGCTTGAGTTTACGCGCCGATTTAAAAAAAGCTTGTTATATTGTACGTAGCCCCCCTCTCATCTAAGGGGCTACCCCCTATGACAATCTCCTTATACCTCCACATGTCAAATTTGGTACCATTTGCTTGATTAGTTCTCGAGTTACTCGAGATCCAGAAATTTCTGTTTCATTTGTATGGGAGCTCGAAGCATCATAAGAACCTTTCCCGGTCCAAAAAACCCCAGCATACAAATTTTCACGCCGATCGGGCCTATAAGGGTCAGACAGACAGACAGAAATTCATTTTTATATAGAGGAAATGGCTCTAATGTTGTTCTATGGATCTCAGATTGGGCCCATTTTTAAAAACCTATTATTTATAAATTTTATGTAGTTGAACGCGTCATTGGGACGGTACTAATGGATAGTTTTGGTCGCTATTGAAAATTTAGTGGATTGCTGAATTTATGAATGGGCCCAAATTAGGGGCATTTAGGCCGACATTACATCCATTTCCCCTATATGTTCTACATCTTTCGATTTAGAGTTTTAGCCCAACTTTTCACACTTTGTTCCTTAATACTGCACGTATAAAAGGTCAGACAAAGAAGCACAGAGTTTACGACTTTGTGTAACTGGTAAACTGCAGTTGGAGGCATAATTGTCCCATGTGTACATGGGACACATTATGCGTCCACTGGCAGTGTGACGCTTAAAATAGTCAAAAGTTGTTACTCTAATTCAAGTATTAAGTTAAAGAACTCGTTAGCTAAGAAAGTCCTGGAAGTCAAGCATCTTTTCGGAAAATGAGGCAAACCGCGAAGTACCTATTTCATACAAATCCCTCAGAAAAAAAATGGTTTGTCGAGCGGGATTCAACATCGAGCATTCAGACTATGGAACGCATGGTCGCTTTCTAAATGTTTTCTCTTAATAAAATTTGATTAATTATGCATCCAGATTTATTGTATACAAGTAAGTACTTAGATGTTCACACGACTATGAGAAGACATAATTTTTAAATAGAAAAATTATTTTCATTCAGATCCGGTTCCGTTGAGATCTTCTTAACCGTTCAGATTATGGTGCTTGCACGGTACACGAACATGAAGAAATGTTAGAGATGTCGAATTATTATTTACCTTAAACCACTCAGAAGATTAACTATAAAACCTAAAGCTACTTCTTTATGAAGTGTTAGATTGACACAATTAGATTCTAATTTATACTCATCATCACTACATTGACCGAACAATATATTTGACATGGATATTTGAAACAATTCAATTATTTGTGGCAATCTAAATTCCCATTTTCCGTATTTCCAGTAAGTTCCAGAGAAGCTTCACTCACAGAGCACTCCCAGAAGCTTGTCGCAGCAGTAAGAGCTGCGCAAAGAATAATCTGAACACCTTTCAACAGATTTGAAAACCCCAAACGTTAAAAGGTTTTGAATATTAGTTGCAAATCATAAGTAAGATTGGCGTTTTCAAATAACAATTAAAATATTGTATGACATACATAATTCCTTACTAGCATTATTTACAATGCAAAGTTATGACGTATTATTTATGATGCACATACCTAACAGTTTAAAAAACAAATATCGTAGGCATGTACATCGATAGAATTTTTATAGATACTGATTCCAATGGTATATCCTTTTTGGTGAAAGTCGTTAATTTCATGAACATCCAACTCGGAACTAAGCATACAGTAGCACAGCTGAACGAATTTTTCATTACAATTCAAGCAGGAAAAAAGTTTCAAAGTTACACCCGCCATCAGTAATGCAATCAAAGTGAGAAATAATGCTGGCTAAACGATGCTTCTAGAAAGAAAAATAAAATGAAAGAAGATTTGAATCAATGGGCCTGAAGATTAGTGATCCATAGGCCAACATTGAAGCTCCTTCCTTTATTTCATTCTAAGCGAGGTTTACTGGAGTGGAACCATGATCCGACAACCATGAAAGTTCAATGAACGTATCGTAACGTAACGTCTGCCCAATTATTAAAAAAGGAGATAAGTGTGGAATGAGTTGTTTATTTTTGTTCTCATCTTAAGATTAAAACTTATGATTTTTAGGCGCCCAGTTTCTCGAGTGTAGTATGAGGACTTAACCAAATGTGTCCAATGTTTTTAACCGTAGATTGTTGGGGAAAGGGGTGTCAATAGCACAATCATATACACCGTAGAATTTCCGACCAGTTTCAGCTTTAATGGTTTGCAACTTCTTAAAAGTAAAAAATGAACATTTGTATTCTACATCAATTTCTGCTGTTACCTCCTGCCTTTTCAGTATGTGTTCGACCGTTTGTTTCTTGCTTTTGGTTCATCATAGAACGCGTTAGTTAACCTTCCTTGTGTTCATTTCCTTCCTAGATCCACGTTCATGAGCTACTTTCCCGATCAACGGAATCCGACCTGTATACTAGCGGTAGTCTTAGAAATATAAATTTCTAAAAATCTATTTACATTTTTTCACCCTACTTAGAATTTCGCTCATTTCGTCCCAATCTGACTTTCTTTTGTCGCCATTTATCATCACATCCAGAGCATGGTGAAAAACACAAATAATATTTCAGGCAATTTATATTGAAGAACCTCCAATTACATAGTGATTCACAATTCCTTCGCCGTCTTCTAGCCTTTGTTACCGTTCATTTAGTTTAATGGAAGCTGTCCCCAGTAAGCGACAGGTACATACCGTTCGAATTCTGTCTGTGGTTTAATCATTATCAGGATTATGGAAAATTATAAATGCAAATCTTTTACTCCTCTTATTAGCTGTGTTTAATCGAACCTATTTGTTTGCTGTATTTAAAACTGTTCTTAACCTAAGCCTTTGAGTTTAGGCGACGGACCTTACACGAACGCACGCTAACCGCCTTATTCAACGGTTGCGCTCTAGTCGCGGTGATGCTCCTCCCGGTCGCGATCGTCATTGATGATCCGGTCGATCATGTCTCGCGCCCGATCAATGTTCGACTGGTCTCCCATTACCGAAACGTTGTTCTGACCGTTTTCGTTGCGCTGCTTGTCTGAGGGACCGATAGATAAAAAAAAAAAAACAGAAACGATTATCAGTTATGAGATCCTTTTTCGTATGCATAAGGTGAAATAACATGGCAGATAAGTGTTGGAAAAGTGTTTATTTGTTGAAACCATTTTGAAAATGCTCGCTTGGTACCTGAACCATGAAATAAAAAAAGGCGCTCTTTATGCAGGTAACGGTTCATAATGCTTTCCAACAAGAAACATGTTTCTCGATACCTATTTCACAGCATACGCTCATACACCGTTCTTTCGAATAAATTCGCCCAGGGGACGCCGCCACATACAATCCAAATTGAAAAATCCCCTTTTCGACATGCGCTTCAGCCCGGTTGAACCAATGTCCTCGTGGCAGCAATGCAATATACAAAATATAAAGACTCATAAAAGTTACCTATTTGCACCGACACTCGGCAGCGATCTTGGATTTCACGGATCTTGTTGCCACCGCGTCCAATGATGAATTTGACCTTTTCGGCATCGACCTCGAACGTTTCCGTCTTAGCCGTTGCCGGGTCAATCCTTGGTGGCCCACGTGGGGGACCGCCACCGTTGCGGAATCCACCGCTGCCGCCTCCGCCACCACCGGAACGGTAACCGCCTCCTTCACGGTTGCCATATCCACCACCACTACCACCACCTCCACTTCCTCCCGAGCGGTAGCCACCACCGCTGCCTCCGCCGCCACCACTGCCGTAACTGCTGCCTCCGCTACGGTAGTCACGACGCTCCCGATCGTACCCAGAGCTTCCGCCACCGTATCCACGGTCGGATTCGTCACGTTCTCTCCAGTCTGGCATGTTTTAGCTGTTAATAGAAACATAAAACTCAATTATTACAAGCCCCAAGCAAAAGCACATTTTTCACTACCAAAATGAAAGCCAATATGAAATCAAAGATGGTGGCCGGTAGCATCACCTCTAGAAAACTACTTCCTGAAGAAGCCGAAAATGGAAATTCAAAAATCCGTGCAAATACCATATTCATTGAGCAAATTCTTACCTTAAGTTGAGCTGAGATGTAATGCGCAACAAAATTTAAAAGTTTTTACACTTTTCACTGCGTTTTGCCACTGGAAATTGTTTGTAAACTGTTAGTTCTCGTCAACAACGAGAACTTTTTCCGTGGAGGCTTCAAAGCAAAGTGCGTTTCGGTTTTCAGAGTCGGCTTCTTCGCCGCCTTGAACGACTCGAAAGAAGTGCAGAGGAGTCGATACAACTACCAACGCATTATTTCGCCGGGTCTCACGAACACACATGCGTTGAATGTGGAAGATGTCAAAAAAGTAGCGGTGGAGTGCGTTCGCAAAATGTAGCGTTTCATGTGGCATGTGTGCACAGTGTATTGGAGCTGGTCGAGACGGTGGTCACATTAAATTTCATGCAACTCACTTCACGACTTCAAAGATATATTAATAGAATATTCCTTCAATCCGATACACCACATTATCACTTGGATTTTTTTTTTCAGTCGTGTCTTATTCCTTGTTTAGACCACAGAGTTTTAACATATGTTACATGAGTTTTTTGAAATAAATGACCCATGCCTACCTGTAAAAAATCCAATAAAAATACAACTTCACTGTAACTGTAACCACTATCTACCACGAGACTACGATACTTTTTATTATGCGGTTAAACAACTTTAATGTTATGTTCAGACTACACGGTTACAGACTTAAAATCAAAATTTGTCCTCGGTGAGTCAAGAATCCAAAGATGTCATTAAATTGTAGAAAAACAGCTGTAAAAGCCCAATTGAACGAGATACGTTTCTGAACTTTTGGTTGCTGAATCATCATATTTATCAATTATTGGTACAGTATTGGGCTTATTTCGTTGCGTTTGTTAAAAGTAAGAGATATTTGAGAAAACAACGCTTTTTTGTTGAAATACCTCAATAGGGGAAATGGATGAAATGTCGGCCTAAATGCCCCTAATTTGGGCCCACACATAAATTCAGCAATCGACTAAATTTTCAATAGCGAACAAAAATATCCTTTAGTTCCATCCCAATGTCACGTTCATCTAGATAAAATTGATAAATAGCAGATTTTTTTGCGATGGGTCCAACCTTAGATCCATAGGCCAACATTAGAGCCAATTCCCCTATCTTGAAATGCAATGAACTTAACTTTTTGAAATTTTGCTCATTTTTAGTCATAATAAAGATCATTAATACTTCATTAATTTTTCTAAAATTCGTCCCAAGGTAAAAAGTTGAAATTCTAACTTCGTACAGGTTCTTCCAATAAAGTCCAAAACTATAGCGGAAATTCAATAAATATATGTTTAACCACTATCCAAGATTAAAAAAATATCTATTTACAATGTTTCAAAAAACAAAATCCATTAGTGTGTGTAGGTACGCTCAATTTTGCGATACACTTTCACCCCTATTCTGTATTTCGATTCGAACGAAATTCTCATACAAAAAAATATTTTTTTGTATTAGAATTTCGTTCGAAACGAAATACAGAATAGGGGTGTTTATATCGAAGCGAAGTGAAATTTGAAGCAAGTGAAAAATCATGAAATGTTACTAGCGAAAAAGATTGTGAAAAAAGGTTGTGGATCATTTTTCAATTTCCTCTTTTCGCAGTTAACAATTCACGTGAAGTGAAATCGATCAGTGTACACCTCCGGTGAAGTAAACATCGATCCAAACTGACCGATACGCTCTTTATCGAAACGTCAACTTTTCGCTTAGCTGCTGTGCTTTTCACTAGCATTTTTTTCCTTTGATTTGTTTTCCGTCGATCTTATTTTCAGTGCTGAGCCACCAATGCTACCGATGCCAGGGAGGCAGCTCCCACACCTGGACCCTACCTATCGACTCATCAACTCATGAACCGAGGACAGAGATGTTATGCCTCAGAACATCCCGGCGGCACCGACTGGGAGTTATAACATGTTATAACGGTTGTCAAATAATTGCAACACAGAAACCACCATCAAGATAGCGCTATAACATGTTATAACTCTGTAGTCTGAACGTAGCACAATAGTACGTTCATGCCTTGTTCAGACTGGAGAGTTATAACATGTTATAACGGTTGTCAAATAATTGCAACACAGAAAGCACCATCAAGATAGCGCTATAACATGTTATAACTCTGTAGTCTGAACGTACTATAAGACACATCTCTCTGAAATTTCTTCTGTAAAAGATAAGAAGAATTGAAGCATGAATAAAATCATGAGAAATATTTTCACAACCCTGTCAATGGTTTTTCTTGGTTTTATATTTTGTGTGGATTTCTGAGATAATTTCCTTATCATTTTTATACAGAACGTTCCTTTTACGGTGCTTGTTTAATGAGTTTTTAATTTTAAAAGTACGTAATGTCCGAGAAAATCCAAAAACAAAAATTAACACCCTCCGAAAAACCCGAAAGTAGAATTAACTACCTACCCTGAATTTTTTAAAGTTTATTTTCGTTCATATTATAAACTCTGCCTGTGGGCCAAATTTCATAAAATTCTGAGACGCCTCAACCCAAATCTGCCCGATAATAAGACAAATCCCCATAGGTATTTTTTTTAAATTAGAAAATACTGAGAAACAAAGCCACATAATCGGCAGGACACGTACGTGTGAGAAAACTTTCGAAAATTTTTCGGAAGCCGGTGGGATTTGAACCCACAAATCCCATACATTACGCGGCGCACCTTTAATAAAAATAACCATAAACGAACGATAACGCAAATGATAGCACTATTTTATAAATAGTTTGGATGATATGCCGAACACGTGGTTCATCAAAATAACCTTATTTTTTATGAAGGTCAGGCAACGGAAATCATCTACATTCATTTAGAGCATTAATTTACATTGATTTGCCTCTAACTTTTTTTCATCAACAGAATTCCGTGGTGTAATGTATGAAGCTTTTGCAGATTTTGATATTAGCTACAACCAGGCATGGCAAATCATTTACATTCATTTGCCTCTAACTTTTTCCATCAACAGAATTCCGTTAAATGATGCATAAAACTTTTGTAGGTTTTGATATTAACTACAACTTTTGTCGATAACTCAAATCTGTACCTCTTATGCATGACGAACTAGAGCGTGCAGAACTTGTTACTATTTTTCAGTGAATGTAATTTACATTGACTGCGAAAATAGGTAAGTTCTCTACGCCCCGGTTCATCGTGCATAAGATATACAGATTTGAGTTTTTCAAAAAGGTTGTAGCTTCATACATCATTTCAAGGAATTCTGTTGATGTAAAAAGTTAGAGGCAAATGAATGTAAATGAATGCACGAAATGAATGTAAATGATTTTCCATGCCTGGCTACAACTGTTAATAACTCAAACTTGTATCTTTTATGCATGACGGTCTAGAGCGGACAGAACTTATTATTGTTTTTCAGTGAATGTAATTGATAAATTTAGATGGTTAAGCTTTTGGCGCTACTGTATATGGACGATCAGATTTAAAATACTGTGGTAGCCACAGCACAGTTCTGTCAAAACCCAAGAATTTTCATTGATCCCTTTAAATGGATCAGTGAAAATGCTGAGGTTTTGCAGAACTATGCTGTGGCTACCACAATATTTAACACTTGATCGATACAGTAGTGCCAAAAATATGCTGTGGTGGGCTCGGTGGTGGGTTCAAAACCTGATCATCTAAATTGATCAATTGACTGAAAAACAATGATGGGTTCTGTTCGCTCTGTTTCATCATGCATAAGAGATACAGATTTTAGATGTTTACAAAAGTTGTTAGATGCAAATGAATATAATGTGATGATGTGATGCCGATATTATACGATAATCGCTGTAATAAAAGGCACAGGAAGGATTGTGCATTAGGGTAGGTCAAGTTTGTATGGTTGATCACAACCCCATGTTACCCACTGCTCTTCGGATGTGTATCGAGGTTCCCAACGAGAGGTATTCTATAGCTGTCAACCCGCTACTAACCCGATAAGGGCCCTTTTACAATATAAGGCTCATATACGGCTTTCAATTTTTATATCAGCCTTATAAAGGGTGTCCACAGTTAAATTACATCACTTAGAAGTACTCGCCAAAAATATGTCCCTTAACCGATTGTCATGAAATTTTTTAATACTAATATATTAGCTTGGTTTACTCTATTTCTTCACCAAATCCAAATGCCCGAACTCTCTTCTTAATTACACCCATATGGTTGTCTCGGGTTTTGTACAACGGTTGAATCGTCATTTTCTTCTGCTTTCAACGATGATTTCAACATGTCCTGCTTCGTAGTGACAACTTAAGGATGCTTACGGAGTTCGTTGTTCATTACAGCCCATTATCTTTCGATTGACTGCAACTCCGGTGTGTTTTGGGGATTAAGATCCTTCGACACGAAATTTGCCCCATTTGTCTTGCACCACTCCAGAACGTCCTTGGAGTAGTGACCAGAGGCTAGATCCGGCCAAAAAATGGATCATTCATGTAGACTTGGTCATTTACAAAAGGCTTGCTCCGTTTTCCGCAAAATCGTGAATTTCTTGGGGAACTTCGACACTTGCTGTATCGTGAGGGACTCTGAAACATCTGTTTCATCGTCCATGATGCAGCAGTGAGATTTTGTCAACATTTGTGTGTACAGCTTACGTGCCCGCGTTCTAGCAGTCCTATTCTGTCGTGGTTTGGTGCTTTCTTGAATTTGAATAAACGTAGTCCTGCTCGTTCCTTGGCTTTGTGCACGAAACTTTTTATCGGGTGCAGTTTTTTTTTCGCGACATCCCGAACGGAATAGTTGCGTTGCGTTTGATTGCGATCGACAGTCAAACGTTCTCCGAAATGTTTTATGACATGAGAAACAGTAGATTGTTGGATTCCCAATATCTTTCCGATGGCTCGGTGTGAAAGATGTGGGTTGTTGAGGTGAGTGTGCAAAATTTCCTCGCGCACGTGCTGTTCCTTCGACTCCATTTTCAAAACTACTCGAAATTTCACAATGAAACTCACGCAGTGTAAACACCCAAAATTTCATTAAAATTAACCCAAAGGGCAAAATGCTACAGTTTTTTGAAACTGATTAAATTAAACTGTGGACACTAGACTGATGCAAAATTTGAAATTTTCGCTCCACATGGCTCAAACGGTTCCAAATTGGGCCCTGATTAGCCTCCCAAAATTTGAACTCATTTAGTGAGAAACTGACTTTGCA